CGTGCGCTTAGCGGGTGCCCGTGAGTTTCCACGTGGCCGGGGACGTACCTTTGAGGGTGGTTGGGTGTGGCGAGAACGTGGCACTTGGAAAAGAGTGCGTCGTGTGGCCGGGGATGCTGCGCAACCTGCTGCACCCTGCCTCAGGGCCCGCGAGTGTCAGCGCTGACCCCACCTTTCCTAAGCCCAGATCTCTTCCCCCACCTTCTTTCCCCTTCGTTCCTGCCGTGGCTTCGGCGATTTGTATCGAGATGTGGCTTCGGTGTTTAGGAGCGGGAACGCAGAAGGTGCTGAATCAGTACTGACTGAAAGAATACAAAAATGCAAACTCTTGTTTAAGCGGAAGCTCCTTTTCTTCGAAGAAGGTCCTTTAGCAAATTCTCAGTGTGATTCGGGTACTAGTCGAATCTTCCTGTTCAGGGAGGGGGCGGGCCCAGTACGCGGTTGTTCCGTCCCCCGCCTTTCACCAGGAGTCTATGGGAGCATCCTGGAGTGGTTTCAGGCTCAGATCTCCAGGGGGACATTCTGAAACATTCAGGTTTGGATCCAGGCCCAGGGTAGCATATTGTAAGGCTAACTGAACACTCTGGTTTTTCTGTTTGTTTGTTTGTTTTTGAGTTGGAATCTCACTCTGTCGCCCAGGCTGGAGTTCAGGGGCACACTCACTGCCACCCCAGCACCGACCTGCTGGGCTCCAGCGATCCTTCTGCCTCAGCCTTCCAAGTAGCCGGAACTGCAGGCATGCGCTACCACACCCGGCTAATTTTTTATTTATTATAGAGATGAGGTCTTGCCAAGTTGCCTGGGCTGGTCTCGAACCTGCAGGCTCAGACAGTCCACTCACCTCGGCCTTCCAAAGTGCTGGGATTACAGGCTGAGCCACCGAGCCCGGCTTGTTTTTTTTTTTATTTTATTTTATTTTTTTTGGAGTTGGAGTTTCACTCGGTCGCCCAGACTGGAGTGCAGTGGCTGCTCCCGGCCACTCTAGCCTTGACCCACTGGGCTCCGGCGATCCTTCCGCCTCAGCCTTCCGAGTAGCCAGAATTACAGATGCGCGCTACCACGCCCAGCTGATTTTTTATTTATTGTAGAGATGAGGTCTCCCTGCCCAGGCGGGTCTAAGTCCGCATTTTCTGCAAAGCAGGGTCTGCCTGGAGCCCCTACCCCCAGCCCATCAGTCTTTTTGCCTGTGGATTCTGTCCCAGACGTGGACTCTCCGTGTTTATTCCTGTTGCCCTTCCTGGCCACACTGTTGGCTGGAAGGACAGTTTCCGCCATGGTTTGTCATCACTCTCTGTCCCCAAACCCCCTATCCCAGGGCACTTCATGCCCCTCTGCAAGCCCGGCTGCGGGTCACCGTGGTTCACCTGGACCCCTTGGCCTGTTGGCAGGTGCCCATGGTTGGGCTGCTTTACCCTGGCTGTTTCTCTCACAGGCCGACCGCCTTTGCTGTCCCTGAGGCCCAGCTCGTGCTGCCTCGTTCACAGGGTCTTCCCTGGGCCAGGCCTCGGAGCTCATGTAGCCGTTCGGCCGAGAGCTATCTGCGCCGGTGTGCTTGCCTGCACCCCACAAGGCGGGGTCCTAGAGAGCACCTTGTGTGCAGTAGGTGCTTAGTTGTTGCTTTGGCCACTTGTATTGTAGCACAGGGAAACTTGAAGATGGGTTACTTTTCTTTTTTTTTTTGTCGCCCAGACTGGAGTGCAGCGGCCGCTCCCGGCCACCGCTGCCTCGACCTGCTGGGCTCGGCGAACCTTCGCCTCAGCCTTCCAAGTAACCGGAATCACAGGCGCGCGCTACCACGCCCGGCTGATTTTTTGATTTATTGTAGAGATGAGGTCTCGCTGCCCAGGCGGGTCTCGAACCCGCGGGCTCAGGCCATCCGCTCACCTCAGCCTCCCAATGGCGCGGGATTACAGGCTGAGCCACCGAGCCCGGCTAATGGGTTACTTTTCATATTAAAACTGAAGCTAGTCCAAGTGGGGTGGCTTACACCTGCAATTCCAGCACTTTGGGAGGCTGAGGCAGGAGGATCGCTTGAGGTCAGGAGTTTGAGACCAGCTTTGGCAACGTAGTGAGATCCCATCTCTATGTTAAGAAAAAAACCCAAAAAACTAAGAAATTTTCCATTTTTAGTCTTAAAGTAAGGCTGTGGTGGAGGGAGGTTGCTGGCACCAACCTGTGGTATTTATTTATTTATTTATGAATTAGAGTCTCACTCTGTCACCCAGACTGGAGTGCAGTGGCCGCTCCCAGCCACCGCAGCCTCGACATGCTGGGCTCCGGCGATCCTTCCGCCTCAGCCTTCCAGGTAACTGGAACTACAGGCGTGCGCTACCACGCCCGGCTCATTTTTTATTTATTGTAGAGATGAGGTCTCACCAAGTTGCCCAGGCGGGTCTCAAACCCACGGGCTCAGGCAATCCACTCACCTCAGCCTCCCAAAGGCGCGGGATTACAGGCTGAGCCACCCAGCCCGGCTCAGCCTGTGCTTTTTCATTGTGTTCTCCCAAGACTTCTGGGAGGGAGCTAGCCACCTGCCGCTTCAGGTCGGGCATGACCTCAGGCTGATCAGCTTGGCAAAGGTCACTGGAGAGTAAGCAGGGCAGTGCACCTGCTGTGCTGTTCACATCCCTGCCCCTGCTCTGGGATGAGAGGTGGGGGCTGCTGCACTCTCCGCCCCTTCCTGGTCCAGGTCCCTGTGACATCTGTGCTCCTGGTCACAGGCACCTGGGAAGAGTCCTGTGCATGGGACTTCAGGAGGCTGGCTCCAAAAGTCTTTCCCAAGCTGTGATGCTGAGGCCCATTGGTTGAGTCCATTTCAAGCCACACACCCGACTGACCAATGCCAAACACCAGGGCGTGCCCCTGCATTGGTGACATGCGTGAGGTCGTGTCATGTCAGTTACCCCAATAAAAGAAATCTGGAGTGGGAGCCAGTGCTGAGCCCTTGTTGCCGTGAGCTGCTGCAGTATGGGGGTCTGAGTGTCACTTGAGACTTCACGATGTCAGATGGTGGCAGAAACATGAAAGAGAACCAGACTAGGAACCTGGGTGTCCTGCCTTCACCTGCTTTTGTGTGCCAGGAGGTTTTGTAGTGAAACACAAAATGGGAAGCTGGTGTCATCCAGAGACGACAGGAGACAGGAGATAGGAGACAGGTGCACGGGCTTCCACGAGGAGGGAACCTAGTTTTTCCCAGAACACCCAGGTACCCCTGCCGATTCCACCCTGTGAACTGTGTGCACAGGAGGGACTGACCCCGTGTGTGCTCATAGTCTTGAGCACAGTGGCTTGTATCCGCTTTCTGTCTGTCTCTGCTCCCCTCCGTGCCCGAGTGTGTCCGATGGCACATCACTGCCTATACCTGCCAAGGCTTAAAGAGCATGCCTGTGTCATGGAGAACCAGAGATGTCCTGGCTAGTGCCTCACTTTGGTTTACGTTGGAAATGACACCATGGTGCCCCTGCCATGGACTCTTGATGGGACGGCCTTTCTGACGTAGTGCTCTGGGCTGTCGCGTGAGGCTAAGTCTCCAGGCCGCTGCGAGCCTTCTGTTGGGGATGGACCTATGGAGGGAGGGCCACCAGATCGGATCAGGAATGAAGGTGGATGAGGAGAGCTGGGACGTTGCAAGTGAGGTGCGGCTGAGTTCCTGGGAAGCCAGGCAAGCGTGACATGCTCAGCTGGCTGCAGGTTGTCTGTGTCCTTATGCCCTCTCCTGCGTGCCCCTGCCCCCACAGGCCATGCCAAGGAGGCACTCAGTCTGGCACAGTTGCAGGAGCAGACATTGCAGCTAGAGCAGCAGGCCAAGGTCAAGGTGAGTAGGGGGCGTGCACACAGGATCCTGGCGTAGAGTGAGTGGGAGTGGATGTGCACATGGGGTCCAGACTCAGCAAGGGGCAAGAGGTGCACTCAGGGCTCAGGCTCAGCATGGGTGGGGGGAGGCATGCGCACAGCAGCAGGCCCAGGGTCGGGCATGGCACCCCACTTCACAGCAGGTAGCAAAGGGCGGCGGGAGGCAGGTACTTGGGGGGGCTGAGCCTGTGGCAGAGCCCCAGAAGGGCAGGGCTGGGAGTGCTGGGGCATTTGGTCTTCCAGAACATGCCTGGGCCCTGCCTCAACCCTCAGTGTGAGCATAGCCAGGAAGTGAGCAGGTGACAGGTGCCGGACAGCCCCTCAGGGAGGCAGTGACATGCCCTGGAGACCCCACCCTGTGCTGTCCTTGCCGACTGGAGCCCCAGGTCTGTGCCCAGTGCAGACGCAGCTGAGAGCCTGACACTGCACAGACCAGTGTGGCCTTAGAGCCTGGCAGCGGGGGAGGCCTGGGAGGTGGCGCCTGGCAGGCATGGGTCCTGAGCAATGCATCTGCAGGAGTATGAGGCCGCCGTGGAGCAGTTGAAGAATGAGCAGATCCGGGTGCAGGCCGAGGAGCGGAGGAAGACACTGAGCGAGGAGACCCGGCAGCATCAGGCCGTGAGGATATGCAGGCCGGGCTCTGGGAGGCCCGGGAAGGCCGGGGCGGGAGCAGTTGGTCTGGGTCTCTGGTCTCTGTGACACCCGAGGATGTGCGAGTGCCAGCTGGCGGAGTGGCCCCTGCATTGCCCTCGCCCAAACCCCCACAGCCTCGGGTCCCCGTGTCCACTCGCTGCGGGGAGCTTTCCCAGGACCCGTGCCACAAGGCTGACTCCCACTGCAGCTCATCCAGTTGAGACATTTTCTCCGCCCTCTTTCCCCCAGAGGGCCCAGTACCAGGACCAGCTGGCCCGGCAGCGCTACGATGACCAACTGAAGCAGCAGGTGAGCATGAGCCCCTCTCTGAGGGCTGATGGGGGACACACATGGACAGATATTATCTGGGCACCCGGGTATAACACTCACAGGCCCAGGTGCACGCACACCCCTTCTTGGGGGGTGGCCCTCTCACTGGCAAGTTATCTGGGTACTCCAAGGATTTGCTGGGTGAGACTGTTTTGGGAAGGCTGGTCATGACTGAGGGTGGGAACCTGGGGGGCTTGGTGACAATTCGCCCTGTGTTAGGGCTCAGCACCTTGGCCTTGAGTTCTTAGGGAGTTTTCCATGTTGCCTATTGTAGGCTTTATAGCTTGACATGGGCAACACCCAGAGTCCTCCATGAGAAGCTGCATGCCAGGGCAGTGGTGTCTGGATGTGTGCCCGGTGGGGAGGGGCTTCTGAACCCAACCCCCTGGGGTCTGCGAATCCTGACTGATGTCTCCATGCCTGTGTCAGGGTGTCAGTCTGCAGGTTCCCTGGGTCCCTGAGAAAGCCAAGGCTTCCAGGGCTCCCCGAGCAGCAATGCCTTCTGACCTGGCATGGAATGTTCTGCGCGTTAAGTCTTCTTCCTTTTTCTGTGGCTTCTTAGCAACTGGTCAATGAGGAGAATCTGCGAAAGCAGGAGGAGTCTGTGCAGAAGCAGGAGGCCATGCGGCGAGGTAGCCTCACTTCCTTGGTTTCTGCAGCTCGGGGCTTTCATCTCGGCCTGGCTCTTCCAGAGTTTGTGCAGGGAGAGCTGGGGCTGGCAACCTTGGGTAGAAACCATGTGCTTTTGCTGTCCTGTGACAGCGCCACTGTGTCCCTGTGTGTATCCCTCGAGCAGGCCGGGGAGGGCTTTTCTGTGATGCTGGGCTCAGCATCTGCGTGTCATGCACTGAGGGCGGGCGCGTGGCGCATCCGTGTGTCTCCAGAGTCCTGATCGCTGGATCTCTGGGGGCCATGTTTCCTGTGTCCTTCTCTGTGTTTTGTTTGTTCCTTCAACCACCATTCCGAGGAGGGTGGCTAGCCTGGTTTCGGGTTCCCTGCCGCATTCTACATCTGCTCCTTGGTGGAGGTGGGTGTGCACGCTGAGCCCTCCCACCTTTCCCGGCAGCCACTGTGGAGCGGGAGATGGAGCTGCGGCACAAGAGCGAGATACTGCGCGTGGAGGCGGAGGCCCGCGCGCGCGCCCAGGCAGAGCGGGAGAACGCCGACATCATCCGTGAGCAGATCCGCCTGACAGCCGCTGAGCAGCGCCAGACCATCCTGGAGTCCATCAGGTGTGGGCCCTCGCCAGCCTGCTTGGCACCCTCTCCTGAGTGCCTCGCTGCGCCCGGGGCTCTCCCGCCTTCTGGTGTCTGACAGCTCCGGGCCGGCTCCTGGGTGGGACCTCGCAGGGCCTCACCCTTGACCTTTACCGGCTGCTCGCGCTCGTCTCTGTGTCCCTCCGGGTCACGTGACTGCTTTCCCTTCCAGGACGGCTGGTGCCCTGTTTGGAGAAGGATTCCGTGCCTTCGTGACAGACTGGGACAAAGTGACAGCCACGGTAAACACGCATGTCCCGTGCAGGTGGTTGTGGAGCCATTGGTGAGGGCCTCCTGGGACCCTCCCCACCTCTGTCCCCACCAGCTGAGCATGCACACCTGCAAGGGCCTGCCTGTGTGTTCCTGGCAGCTCACTTGCCCTTGGTGGCCTGTACTGACAGGCTTGGAGGACGGGTAGGGCTGCTAAACCTCATTTGACCTGGCAGCCTCTGACTTTTCAGGGTTACTGAGGGCTTCTCATCCCAAGGAGGCCATGCACTCAGGCTCCTGCCTACCAGCAGGTTCTGTGTGTACAGTGTGGCTCCGCACCCCACTGCCCAGCTTGCAGCAGGGGTGCAGTACACAGTAGGCATTCATTATGTGTGGGTGCCCAGCATTCAGTAGGCTCCTGGCATGTAGCGGACTCTCAGGACACCGTAAGCATTCATTACACGTGGGTGCCCAGCATTCAGTAGGCACCTGGCACGGGGTGGGTTCTCGACACACAGTAGGCATTCATTATGTGTGAGTGCCCAGCATTCAGTAGGCGCCCAGCATGCAGTGGGCTCTCAACACAGTAGACTTCATTATGTGTGGGTGGCCAGCATTCAGTAGACGCCCAGTGTATGGTGGGCTCCTGACACACTGTAGATGTTCATTACGCATGGCTGCCCAGCATTCAGTAGGCTCCTGGAACGTGATGGGCTCTCAGCACACAGTAAGTGTTCATTACACGTGGTTGCCCAGCATTCAGTAAATGCTCAGCGTGCGGTGGGCTCTCAGCATGTGGCAGGTTGGCGCTCAGAGCTGCAGTGGTGCAGTCTCACAAACGCAACCCGATGGCTGCTGATGGTGTGGATGAGACTAATGGGGTGAAACTCAGGGGTCTGCTTGCTGCTAGCCAGGTGTGACCCGTTTTTGTTTGTTCTTTAGGGGCAGGGTCTCTCACCCAGACTGGAGTGCCTGGCTGGATCTCTTCTCATTGCAGCCTCCAACTCCTGTGTGCAGTGATCCTCCCGTCTCAGCCTCCTGAGTAGCTGAGACTACAGGCACCTTATGTCTGGATAATTTTTTTTTTTGGAGTCTTACTCTGTCGCCTAGGCTGGAATGCAGTGGCATGCTCACAGCCACCCCAGCATCAACCTGCTGGGCTCTGTCGATCCTTCCGCCTCAGCCTTCCAAGTAGCTGGAACTACAGGCACGCACTACCACGCCTGGCTAATTTTTTATTTATAGTAGAGATAAGGCCTTGCCAAGTTGCCCAGACTGGTCTCGAACCTGCAGGCTCAGGCAGCCCACTCGTCTCGGCCTCCCAAAGTGCTGGGATTACAGGCTGAGCCACTGAGCCCGGCCGTGTCTGGATAATTTAAAAAATTTTTTATGGAGACAAGGTCTTGCTGTGTTGCCCAGGCTGGTCTTGAACTCTTGGCCTCAAGCAATCCTCCTACCTAGGCCTCCCAAAGTGCTGGAACCGCAAGTACATGACACCACACCTGTCAGTGGTGTTTTTTCCTCTATGGTTCAGTCTTTCTGAACTGGGGTAACCAGTTGGTCTTTAAAAGGAATCAGTGGCCAGGTGCATTGGCTCAAACCTGTAATCCCACTTTGGGAGGCTGAGGTGAGGGGACTGCCTGAGTCCATGGGTTTGAGAATAGCCTGGGCAATTGGCGAGATCTCATCTCTACAATAAATCAAAAAATTAGCCAGGCATGTGCCTGTAGTTTTGGCTACTTAGAAGACTGAGGCAGAAGGATCGCCTGAGCCCAGCAGGTCGACGCTGGGGTGACTGTGAATGTGCCACTGGACTCCAGCCTGGGCGACGAGGTGAGACTCCAACTCAAAAAAAAAAAAAGGAATCACTGATTGTGGGTTAGCCTTGTTTTAACATTTTTAGTGGACAGAAAGGCCTTGGGGGGCGTGGCTCTTTCAGCAGCCTGGCCATCCCTCAGAGCCCCACTGGGCCCTGCAGTGGCTTCAGAGTGTTTGCATTGCAAATTGCAGAGAAACTGTTGGGATGCATGTAGTGATACTCCTGTCTCCTGTCCCTGAGCCACTGACTGGGGTTTTGGGCTGGGGACTCCGTCAGGTCCGTCAGGGCTACCACATAACCCTGTGGCCCCAGTGACACCTTGGGTGAGGTGCTAAGCACACAAGTGCATCAGTTGCCATCTCTGTTCAGGTGGCTGGGCTGACGCTGCTGGCCGTCGGGGTGTATTCTGCCAAGAATGCTACAGCTGTCGCCGGCCGCTTCATCGAGGCCCGGCTGGGGAAGCCATCCCTGGTGAGAGAGACGTCCCGTATCACTGTGCTGGAAGCACTGCGGCACCCCGTCCAGGTAGGCCGGTGAAGCCCGGGCCTCCCAGCTCTGTCCTGAGCTTCCTGCATCTGAGCAGTGGCAAATACTTGTCCAGATGGCATGTGCGTGCGTGCACACACACCTGCCCGTATGTCAGCCATCCTTGACTTTCCCTCCACGTGGTCCTGGGCTGTAGGCTCTGTCCATCAGCACTGGAGAGATCCTTTCTCTGGCCTGCCATGGCCTCTGTGTGGCCTCTCGATGGGCCCGGGGTACACTTGGGGGCTCTCGTGTCATCCTGTGGCTGTTCTCATATCGCTGAAGTTGCTAGAAGCAGCGTTGTGGTAAGCTTGCAGAAGCAGAAAAGCAGAGCCGAGCTTCTCGCTGACCTTGGTGCTGCCCCCATGTGCCTGTTGACCCCCACAGCCAAGGCAGGGTCTCCATGGGTCCCTAAGGGTGGGAGTTGAGAAAGCCAAGGTGGACAAAGACCCGACAAGTCGTCCCAAGCCCATGACACTGTGTGCCAGCAGGCCCAAGACTCGCTGCTCAGGTCGGGTCCTGCTGAGCTCTGTGGCAGTTCTGTTTTTCTGTGTGAACCCAGTGGTATCCGGCCCTCCCCCTGCAGGTCAGCAGGCGGCTCCTCAGTCGGCCCCAGGATGCGCTGGAGGGCGTTGTCCTCAGTGTAAGTCAGGGTGCATGGGGGAGGAGTCGGCCTCGGGCCTTATGCTGATGTCCAGGGAGCTTTCGCTTCCGAGACACACTCGGGTGTCCAGCCTGCCTGGGCCCAGGCTTCCCAGTGGAATGGTCTCCTGCAGGGTGTCCCTAGGGGCCTCTGGGTTTCTGTGGGGCGAGGGCGTGTTCCCCAAACCCGACTTCCCCGGCAGCCCAGCCTGGAGGCGCGGGTGCGTGACATTGCCATAGCAACGAGGAACACCAAGAGGAACCAGAGTCTGTACAGGAACATCCTGATGTACGGCCCCCCGGGCACCGGCAAGACCCTGTTCGCCAAGGTGGGAGGGCCCGGCTGGGTCACGAGGGTCCTGCTTTCCCGTGGGTGTCCTGGGGATTTGGTGTCTGGCAAACGGGTCCCCTTGAGCCTTTGCCTGCCCTCACTAGGGCTTGTGCCAGCGTGGTCTTCCAGGTGGGGCCATCTCTGGCTGGTGGGGCTGGGGGACATGGGCAGGGTGAAATGGTGGGCGGCATGCGGCAGCTCGTGGAGGGAGGGAACGCCTGCCGTGTCTCCCATGCCTTCTTTCTTCCAGAAACTCGCCCTGCACTCAGGCATGGACTATGCCATCATGACAGGCGGGGATGTGGCCCCCATGGGACGGGAAGGTGTGACCGCCATGCACAAAGTCTTCGACTGGGCCAGCACCAGCCGGCGAGGGTGAGGCGCCCATTCTCCTAGGACCTGGCTCCCAGCAGCCTCTGCTGGAAGGGGATCCAGGAGACTACAGGCCCCTGCTGTCTCTGCATGTCTTTCCTTATGGCCATGCTGGGGGCTGGGGCGGCATTTGTGCTTGGGGATTGCTCAGAGAGAAATTCACCCAAGTATGGCCCGGTTGTACCAAGGCTTTTGGTGCCAGGAGCTTAATTTAGGACCTGAAAACAGGTGTGCAGGTGGCAGGTCCAGACTGGGGGTCCTTGCTACAGTATCAGGAGCTCTGCCCAGGCCACCCCGTTTACCTCCCTTTGAGTGGTGTGTGTGTGGCAGGTAGGCACATGGCAGGTGGTGGGTATGTGTACCATGGCAGGTGTGTGTGGCAGGTAGGTATGTGTAGTGGCACGTGGGCGTGTGGCAGGTGGGGGTGCAGTGCGTGTGCCGTGGCAGGTGTGCATGTGCACGTACTTTTTGCCGAGCCTCCTGAAAGAGTTGACGGTGTTGTGATGTCCTCTCCCAGTCAGGCACCACAGTGGCCCCACAGCAGGGCTCAGTGGCCCAACATCGCTGCCTCAGTTGTCCCGTGTCACTGAGTTCCTTATGGTGATGCCTCACCCCTGGCTTTTGAACTCCTGATGTTGGCTCGGAGCAGCCACTAGCCCCCACAGCTTTGGCGAAGCCACTGGGGCCATGTGCCCAGCACCTGCCATCAGAGTCCCAGCTGGGGCTTGTGGCCTTGAGGCAGTGATCTGGCCCTAGAAGCCATGGGGTTTGGACTCTGATCCGCTTGTCAGGGAGATCCTGGGCCATGCAGGGAGCTTCTTCCTGGGACCTGCCCATCACAGCCAACTCCCAAGTACTTCCAGGTCTGCTCTCTTCGTTCATGTGTCCCCCTTGGTCGTCCTCTTGTTCACAGCCTCCTGCTGTTCGTAGATGAAGCAGACGCCTTCCTCAGGAAGCGAGCTACTGTGAGTGTTCTCTAGGAGCCTCTGTCTGGCTGCGGGGTGGGGTGGGGATCTGGCCTTTGTCCTGGACCAGGGCCAATTCTTCCTCAGTTGCTGTCACTTTGTAAGTTTTGTGTGAAAAGCAGAAGTTTCATCTGCAGCACTCCTCAGGTAGCTTAGAGTCAAGACTTGGCTTTTCCGTTGAGATTCGCAGCAGCATCACATGTCCCTGCCCCTGCGGGAGAGCCCTCTGCCCTCGACAGGCACCTTGGTTGTTAAGACCGTGCTCTTCAGGCTTGCTGCCTGGCGACTGACGCCAGAACCTTCTCTCCACAGGAGAAGATTAGTGAGGACCTCCGGGCCACCCTGAATGCCTTCCTGCACCGAACAGGCCAGCACAGCAGCAAGTAAGTGAGCTACACAGGCTGGCTGCACACCCTGTGTGGTCATCACCCTGGCAGCCACGGGACAGGCAGGCACATGGTGCTGGGCGGCGTCTTGGCATTTTCTCAGGATGGCCCAGCAGGGAAGGGGCTCGAGGCCCAGCCAGGGAAGGCACAGGGTGTCACTGGGCACACGTGCTGGGATCTCTGGGCAGAGCCAGGGCCAGTTCTTGTCAACCCAGCCCTTTTAGCCCCCCTGGCCTAGGTGCTCAGGGGTGAGAGAGAGTCTAAGCACGAGGCCTCCTGATGCCAGAGGATACCAGAGGCCATGGGCACTCTGGACGGGTGTGCGATGAGCTGGGTTTGCTCAGGGCGTCAGCATAAGCAGGTCCTATATGTTGGGCAGGGCACAGGGCCTTGACCTTCAACCCTGTGTGAGGCAGGAGCGGCCCTCCAGGCTGGGCTGAGCCCATCTTGGCGCAGCCTCCCTGGGCTGTCCCTCGAGGTCAGCCAGTGGGACAGTCACCTTGGCCAGGCACGCCAGTCTTTTCCACGTGTCCTTATGTTGGTGTTCCACATTGGCCTGGGCTCCCTGGTCCCAGCCCCCTCACCATAGAGAGAACCGAGGCCTGTGGGGCCACGTATGGCCATCCCCTCACACATATCCTTCGCTCACTGTAGCTGCTGCCCACAGACCCTCCTGGAGCGGCAAGCGTGGCTTCCTGTAGAGCCCAGTCCCCTGACCCAGCCTGGTGTGTGCGGTATCTGTCTGACCCCAGGTCCCTGCCTTCTGGACACAGTGAGGCCCCGATGGCAGGACAGAGCAGGTGTCCTGTGCACACTGCCTGTTGAGTGGGTCAAGGGTCGCGAGACCACGTGGAATTGGGTGAGGACAGAAGCTCGGGAGACCGGGGGGCCTTGACCCACCCATGTCACAAACTGAAGCCAGGAATGGACAGTGGCAGGACTGGGGCTGGGCTCTCTGGGGGTTTTGGCCAAGTTAGATTCTTCTAGAAAGTTTCCCTGGGGCAGTTTAGAAGTCCTTGCTGTACTCAGTGGCCTGTGCTGTCCTCTCCCTGCAGGTTCATGCTCGTCCTGGCCAGCAACCAGCCTGAGCAGTTTGACTGGGCCATCAATGACCGCATCGATGAGATGGTCTGTTTCGACTTGCCGCAGCAGGAGGAGCGGGAACGTCTGGTGAGGTTGTACTTCGACAAGCACGTCCTCAAGCCAGCCACGGAAGGGAAGCAGTAAGTGTCCACGCCCCACACGGCCTGTCTCCTGGCCTGGGCACCGCTCTCTTCCCTGTAGTTGCACGCAGGCACACAGCGTCTCCAGTGAGGCCAGAACAGTCATCTGCACAGGCTTTTCCGTGCCTGAGCGCCCAGACCAGGGGGCCTCAAGGAAACGCTCTGAGCTGCACACGGGCCCTGACTGCCCAGCCGCACGGGGAAGGCTCATTGCTGAGCTTTGTTCTGAGGCCCTCATGCTGGGCTTGGGGGTACACCCCCTGGCTCCATTGCAGGCCATGTGCTTGGCCTCCCTCCCGCCACATAGGCCCCCACACCTGGTGCTGCCCTGGGGATGCCGGGCTCTCGGTGTGGACGCATCGTGGCTCTCAGCGTCATACCTGAGGCAGGTGGGTGGCAAGTTGAGCAGCCATGGGGCAGAGCTGTGAGGCCCCGCCCGCTCCACCTGTCTCTCGTACCAGGCAAGCAGGCGCTGCTCTATGTTTAACTGTCTCCAGGGCCTCGGCTCCAAGTCCTTCTGCATATCTGACCCAGATCCCTGCTGTGGTGTGTGCTAAGAAGAACTTGGCTCAGCCCCGCCGGCCCCCTCCTGCTGCCAGTTTCCCATGAGCCATCTGGGCCTCGGTCTTCCTTGGCTCCACCCCAGCCCTGCTGGCCCGAGGAGCCCCCACCCAAAGGCTGGTTGTAGCACTGTGGCCTGGACTCTGGGACCTCTTTCCAGGGAGGCTTCCTCTGACCTCAGACTTCACCGCTGGACACCCGGGCTTGGCCGCACGTGGCCTGGGGCGGCATGTCCCCTTCCCCTTGTCTCCCACTGTCCTGTTGGCACTTGCCCTGGCTGTGTGTGTCCTTGCTGTGCACTGGGCATGCGAGTGGGCTGGTGTGTCGGGTCTGGACCAGGAGGCCCTGCAGCCCCTGCCTGGGCCCCGCCACGGCCTAAGGCAGGCAGCACCAGGCACGGCCCGGGAAGGGACCAGCACTCGAGGCGCGCTGTCGGTCATGCTGCCCGTCCCCGTCCCCATGGGAGCACGTGGCCTGCCTCTGCCGGGCTCCATGTGAAACTCCTCCCCCAGGCGCCTGAGGCTGGCCCAGTTTGACTATGGGAAGAAGTGCTCGGAGATTGCGCGACTGACGGAGGGCATGTCTGGCCGGGAGATAGCACAGCTCGCAGTGGCATGGCAGGTGAGGTGGGCATGCATCCACGGGCAGGAGCCTGACCAGCGTAGAGACCTCCCAGTGGTGTCAGGCACCTCCCAGCAGCGGTCTCCCCTGGGTAATCTCTGGAAGGATGTAAGACCCCACTCCCGTCGGGCTACCATGGGCTCTATTTATCCACACTGTTTCATCCAGGGGAGGAGGGGGCAGGGGTCAGTGGTGGCACTCAGCCCAGCCTGCTGTGGTCCCCGCCAGACGGTGCTCTCCGGAAGTGTGGGTGTCACTTTCCTGTGGGAGTGTCAAGCGGGCCCTGGACACTGTCCCTAGTTGGCACCCAGGCAAGTGGCGCAGGAGGTCCTGGAAGCGGAGGAGGCAGGGGCACGGCCCATGGGTGGGGAGGCCTCCCGCGTAGTGACCGGCAAGCTCAGCTCAGCTTCAAGCCTGTGGGCCCCGAGTTCGTCTGCCGTGCGTGGGAATGCTCCTGGTGCTGGCCTTTTAGGACAGGTTCGCCCCTGGGCCAGGTGGGTGGGGGTGTTGTCTTTCCTGGAGTGTGTGGTGGGCTTGGGCCTGCTTGGGCAGATGCACAGGCCCATGGACCCTGTTTCTTCCCAACATGCAGTGGTGCTTGGCACAGCTCCTGGGCAGGAGCAGGTCCCGGGGACGCTGGGTGGGCCAGCCAGGAGTGCCGGGCTTCAGAGGTGCTAGAGGACAAAGACCAGATCAGGGGCAGAGGGTGCTGAGGCTGTATGCCGGCTAGGCTGTGGTGAGGGGGGCAGTGCTTTCAAAAGAGGCTGAGGAGCTGGGTGTGGTGGCTCACGCCTGTAATCCCAGCACTTTGAGTGGGAGGCCGAGGTGAGAGGATTGCCTGAGCCCACGGGTTTGAGACCAGCTTGGGTAACTTGGTGAGACCTCATCTCTACAATAAATCAAAAATTTAGCCAGCTGTGGTAGTACACGTGTGTAGTTCCGGCTACTTGGAAGGCTGAGGCAGAAGGATCATCCGAGCCCAGCAGGTCGAGGCTGCGGTGGCCGTGAGTGTGCCGCTGCACTTCAGCCTGGATGACAGAGTGCGAGACTCCAACTCAAAACAAAAATAAGAAAATAAAATGAGGCTGAGATTGACCTGATCAATGGCTGCCCTGAGTCGAACCGTGGGGCCTGGCAACCGGTAGTTGGTCAGGCCATGCCATGGCCCTCAAGCCCATCCCGGCTTGACTGAGAATGCTCCAGGCTGAGCCGGGGGCTTCCACAGTGGGCATAGCAGGACAGGGCAGTGGCAGCATGGTCAGCTGGGCTGCCCTGGCCAAACACCGCACCAGGGAGGGCCGGGGAGGGCTCTTGCCTGACTTGCAGATGGGCAGACAGCCAGGGCATCCTCACGAGTGGAGAGTCTGCTCCTGTCTCATAAGGACACTAATTCTGGAGTTGGGCCCTGCTGTCACGCCCTCTCACAACCTGTTACTTCCTCGGGCCTGTCTCTGATGCAGCCAGATGGGGTCAGGGCTCCACAGGTGGTGGGGCCTTGAGCACGAGTCCACCACCTGGTTGTGCGCTGACTCACAACTCCACTGGGCCCCAGCGCTCCTCCCCCCACCTGGCATGGCCAGAAGGTTACCGGCCTCCCCGGTGCCTGGTGGACGGGGAACCCGGGTCAGGTCCCGCCAGGGTGTGCCAGTCGCTGACTGTCAGCTTGGCTGAGGTGTCCGTCTACCCCTTTGTGTGCGAGGAGCAAGATGAAGAGGTGAAACCCAGAGCCTGGGATCCACGTGGTGGAAGCGCCGTTGGCATCCAGGCCTCGCCCTGCGGTCAGTCCTGTCCCTCCTGGACCTGGGCCACCAGCATGGACTGTGCACTAGCTCTTTGGAGCCCGCTCTGGGGGCTCCTGTGGACTTCCACTCTGCAGTGTCCACCCTCAGTGCGTTTGCTCTGTTTCTGCAGGCTCTCATGGCTTATGTCATGTGGATTTACTGCCTTTTGTTTTTATTGCTTGTTTCTGAGTTGGAGTCTCTGTCACCCAGGCTGGAGGGCAGAGGCACGCTCACAGCCACCGCAGCCTCGACCTGCTGGGCTCCGGCGATCCTTCCGCCTCAGCCTTCCAAGTAGCTGGAATTACAGGCATGTGCCACCACGCCCAGCTAATTTTTTGATTTATTGTAGAGATGAGGTCTTGCCAAGTCGCCCAGGCTGGTTCTGAACCCGTGGGCTCAGGCAACCCTCTCACCTCGGGCCTCCCAAAGTGCTGGGATTACAGGCTTGAGCCACTGTGCCTGGCCTGCTGCCTTTTGTTAAACATGAAGTTTACCATTTAAACCGTCTTTAAGTGGGCAGTTCCATGGCGTTAAGTACGGTCATTTTGTGCAGACTTCACCACCACGGTCTCCAGAACTTATTGTCTCATCAACTCTGTTCCTGTCCAACGCTCCTCAGCCCCCTCCAGCACCCTCCTCTGCCTGCTGCCGAGTACCCACCCTTCCCCTAGGTCCCTCGTGTAGCTGGTGTCAGGCAGGATCTGTCCTTGTGTATCTGGCCTGCTTCCCTGAATGTGATGTTCCAAGGGCTGTGTTGTCCCAGGTGTCAGAATTATCTGCCTTCTTGAGGCTGAGTCGTAGCCTTCATGTGGGTGCACATACCGTTCGCCATCGCCTATCTCTGGACGCTGCACTCTGACCTCGGTCGCTGTGAACAAACAGTGCACTGTGAACAGCACAATTATTCCGAGTATAGACTTGGAGGTGGAATTACTGGACCGTGTGATTCTGTTGAAACTTTTTTTTTTTTTTGGAGTTGGAATCTCACTCTGTCACCCAGGCTGGAGTACAGTGGCACACTCACGGCCACCCCAGCGTCAACTTGCTGGGCTCCGGTGATCCTTCTGCCTCAGCCTTCCAAGTAGCTGGCTAATTCTTTGATTTATTGTAGAGATGAGGTCTCACCAAGTTGCCCAGGATAGTCTTGAACCCCTGGACTCAGGAAGTCCTCTCGCCTCGGTCTCCCAAAGTGCTGGGATGACAGGCTTGAGCCACTGCACCCAGCTTTATATGTTGATTTTGCATCCTGCAACTTGACTATTAGCTCTAAAAGGGTTTTTTGTTTGTCGTTTTGTTTGTTTCTTTGATGTGGACTTCTAGTGTATTTTCTCCACATAGGATCATGTTTTCTAAGAACACATAATGTGACTTCTTTCTTTTCAGCCTGGATGATGGATTTACTTCTCTTGTCTGATTGCTCTCACTAGAACTTCTGGTTGTTTGTTGAATAGACGTGCTGAAAGTGGCATCTCTGCCTTGTCTTGAGTTTAGAGGAAAAGGTTTTAGTCTTTCTCCACTGAGTTTGATGCTAGCTGTGGGCTTCTGATAGATGGCCTTTACTGTGTTGAGGAAGTTTTCTTCAATTCCTGGTTTGTTGAGTTTTCATCAAGGTTGTTAAAATTTGTCAAGTGCAGCCGGGCATGGTGGCTCATCCCTGTCATCCCAGCACTTTGGGAGACAGAGGCGAGAGGATTGCCTGAGCCCAAGGGTTCAAGACCAGCCTGGGCATCTTGGTGAGACCTCATCTCTAAAATAAATTTAAAAATTAGCCAGGCATGGTGATGCACACTTGTGGTTCCAGCTACTTGGAAGGCTGAGGTAGAAGGATTGCCTGAGCCCAGCAGGTTGAGGCTGTGGTGGCCATGAATGTGCCCCTGCACTCCAGCCTGGGTGACACAGTGAGGCCCTGACTTAAAAAAATTGTCAGATGCTTTTTCCCTATCAATTGAGATGATCTTGTGGTTTTTCCTTCACTCTGTGAATGTGGTGTATTATACTGCCTGATTTTCTGTGTTGAACCATCCTTGCATCCCATAAGTAATACACTTGGCCATGGTCTATAATTTTTCTAATATACTATGGAGTTCAGCCTTTTAGTATTTTGTTAAGGATTTTTGCAGCAATGTTCATTAGAGATATTGGCCTCCAAATTTGTTTTCTTATGGTGCCCTTCTCTGATTTTGATATCAGGGTAACACCTGCCTTGTAGAATATATGAGGAAATATTCCCTCTCCTTTAATTTTTTGGAAAAGTTAGAGCCGGAGTGATGCTAATTCTTCTTGGAACGTTTGGTGAATTCACCTGCAAGGCCATCTGGTACAGGACTTGCCTTTAAGCTTTTTTCTTTTTGAATAATTTTGGCTTCCAGAAAAGTTGCAAGGATAGTACATTGGCTCCCAGGCCTGGTTGTGTTGCAGGCATCATGTGTCACTTGGGCTCCATGTCCACTGGGTCTTGCCAGGATCACAGGTGGGATACCCATGGTGCTTTGCTGCCATTTCGGGTGGGCTTGTTGCCTGGCCACATGCCCTGGGCTGGGTGATAGGCATGCAGCACCTTGCAGCCTCCCTTGCTTTGCCCCTTTGTGAGGCACAGCCATGTCCGCCCAGCACAGCCACCCAGCCCCGGCTTTCCTGCTTGCCCACTTGGGGCTTGGCTCAAGGCCAAAATGGCGTTGCTAGCCCCTGAGCCCCCAACACTCAGGTGGCCTTGAGGGGCAGATGTGGCACATCCCACTGTGGGGACACTGGCACCACTTCTACAGGAGACATCCTCTTGCTCATCCCAGGCTGTCATGGGAGGATGGCTTGCGCCACCCCGCACCCAAGATGCTTCCCGCGGCCAGGAAGGATAGGGCACAAGCCGGCCCATGCCACCTCTGGGTCCTGGTGCCCACCTGAGCATGGTGCTTGTGGGGGTCCCCACCCTTCCCTGGTGCTTTTCAGAGCCTGTGTGCCCAAGGGGGCCCTTCAGGGCCATGGCCAGGCCCCGGGATGGAGCGTGGCCAATCCTGGGCAGAGGTGCGGGGTGGGAGGCCGCCCTGAAGGACGCCCCAGGGACACAGCCGGACTGGTGCCCTCACGCTGAGGCGTCCTCAGGGAGGGCGGGGAGCTGCGGGGCGTCTGGTCTCGACAGCTGGGGGAGAGGGGCGCCCGGTCATGGGGAAGGCAGGGGTGCCGGTCGCTGGGGGGGGGGGGGCGCCTCACCGACCCTGCCTCGTGTCGAGGATTTGGCAGCCCTCGGGCTGGGCTGCTGCTATGTGGGGCCGTCGGGTCTGGGCACTGCCAGCCTGGGGAGCCCCTCACGGTGGCACTGCCTGCCCGCTGTCTTGGACGGCCTGTGTTCTGCATCCTCCCCGGGGGGCCGCGGGGGCGGGGCTCGCTTGGGCTGGTTTTGGAGTCAGTAGCGGAGGAGTGTGGCAGCGTGGGGGGCATGGGGGACACAGGCGGGCATGGGTGGCGTGGGTGGCGTGGGGCACAGGCAGGGCCCGGGCGGTGCGGAGGGGCCGCCTCAGCTGCGACTTCTCCCGTGACCCAGGTGTCCGCACGGGCCGGGGTTGTGCTGTCAGAAGCCTGTGCCCTGACCGGGCGGCCCTGCCGCTCGGGTGGGCCCCGCCTTTCGTCCCAAGCCTCTGGCCTGTTGAGGGGGTGAGTGGCTCCCCGCAGCCTCCCCAGCCCTCTCTCTCCCCGCCAGGCCATGGCCTACGCCTCTGAGGACGGGGTCCTCACCGAGGCCATGATGGACACCCGTGTGCAGGACACCGTCCAGCAGCACCGGCAGAAGATGCGTTGGCTGCAGGCAGAGGGGCCCCAGGGCGGCCAGCGCTTGCCCTCCTGAGTCCGCCACAGGGTGACATCCCTCCGTCCTCCCCGCCCCAGAACGCTCCTGGGAGACGCAACTCCCAGCCCGGCCTGCCCGCCAGCACCAAGTCCCGTGGCTGCGGAGCCCGGCCGGGCTTTTCTGGGTCCCATGGGAGAGCCAGGCACAGGTGGGACTGGCCAGGCCAGACCACCGGGGAGGCCCCACGTTGCCCGGCCCAGCCTGTGCCCTGAGCCCTACCCAGGCTTGTGGCCGTGAGGAGCGGGCGGGGCGAGGGGCTGAGAACAAGCCGGGCCCACCGGGGGGGGGCTTGTCCAGGTCAGGCCCAGTTGGCCAGGAGTGTCCCGGGCCGTGACGGGAGCAGGGTCTTTTCTTTTGAATTTAATAAAGATAAATAAACAAATAAATTTGTGTGTCTCGTGGCTGCTGCCTGGGCGGCTTGGAGGGTCCCTGCAGACCCAGGGGTCAGAGGTGACAGAAGAGGCGGAGGCTGGAGCTTTCTGGAGAATTTACTGACCGCAGA